AGTTTCCTCATTTATAATATAAACAAATTGAACCCTACAATTTCCAAGTTCCCTTGTTCATCTAATACTCTGTAATTCTAAAGAGAAAATCAAATATGCGAGTCTGGATTGAGGCCTCTAGAAGGTCAGGAGATTTTGACTTATCACATCCAAACCACAGCTTTTGTGACGTTTCAGAACAAGACCATTTTTCTTGTACCCAAATGACTCCTTCTCTATTTAGGAGCTTGGATGTAACCTCCATGTAGCAGTGCCTGAGAAAATGAAATGTGGGGTTAATTCAGACAGTGGAATTGGAAAACATGTTGCCACAGTCATCCCCAAGGAATAGAATATAGCCATTCTTCATAATTATGTTTTATGTACTCTTATTTTTCTACAGTTGGGAAAAAAGTATGGTTCTCTGTATCTGAAGAGAATAAAATTAGGATACTCATTAACACACACTAACAAAAGTCTACTGAAAACCATCACCACTGAGTAAGTAGTACAAGGAAATACTGAGTTCTTAGTCAATACCAACACCACACAATCCAGAACCGCATTACAAAATGCAAATACACACTGTGATCAAATTTTGTGGACAATGAGAAAAACTTTATAAAGACTATATACCCAGTTCATTCCAATAATGACAAATGTTGGAAATTAATCAATTATAAACAGTAAAACATGGTTCTTTGTTTCAGTATCAATAGCATATAATTAATGTGCAAGGCAAAGAAAATTCAATTAGTTCCAAGTGACAAACATCATCTCGCTCACCAACACTTCATCATGGAAACTACTCCAGAGCACAACATAGCTTTGTAAAAGGATGAAATCTTTGAAATTCTAACAGGCGCACTGAGGGAAAAATTAAGATTTAGCAGGAAATAATCGCATGCAAATTAAATTTCAGTACCTCGTTACCATCTACACTTTAGAAGTGTGTCTTATTTGTCATTCTACTAGAGTGATCTCCAGTTTTCTGTGACTTTCACTCAGAGAAGAACTTAAGACTTCCAGTCACTGGTTAAAGAAGGGGGAATAAGTTAGTAGCCTGATATCTTCAATAATCACTTGTTTCAGGAAGATTACTGAGCCTTCTCTTTGAAGGCTGCAGCACTTCTGCAGTCTGCATCAGGCAAAAGCTGGAAAAAGATGGAAGTCTGGCATAACGGAAACCATGGGTGCCTGGCTCATGTAATGAAGGGGATCCATGCCTCTTTATTGAGCAGGTGCATCACACTGGTTCCAAGTTAAGCTAGACCATGACTACCTTTTCACAGGATTCCAAGGCAACCGAATTAGGAAAGGTAAGTGAGTTAGGCCTTCTCTTGCTGGGCGCTTGAAGGGAAGATATATTGGAACACACAATTTGAGACAAGAGGAGAAATTGGGAATTCATATAAGAAAACTGGACAGTGTTTGCACCATGTTGTCATTGGGGAACTAGAGGTCACTGACCCTGAAATCTCTTGCAAATATCACAATAATTACTATGAAACCTGGAGATGCACCCAGGAAATTGTGATACCACAATGTGTAAAGAGAGTAACCACCTCATTATAATGATCATGGAAAATATATACTTAAGTATGACAGATGGAGAATCACAAAGAAAATTTAAAAAAAATATTTTTTGGAAAGCTGGATTATGGGAGAATTTTTCATTTCTCTTGAACACGTTAATGCTGCAGTAGTCTTTGTACGATAGTGTTTTACAAGTCTTGCTGAAACATTCATCAAAATGAGTAGATTTTTTCAGGGTTTTTTTTTTCTCAGCTTTAATTATGTAAATTGAGGCTCCACTACTCCCCTCTTAATTTGAGGACTGATCTATCCTTAATGTTGTTATAGGTTGAATAATCAGAACTATTATTTATGCAAAATGAACTCTCCAAGTCAATGTTTGAAAGTAACCTGGATCCAGTCTAAGAAAGTTTCATTCTGAAACTTTACCATTCAAACTGGATTCATATCACAGGAAAATTGTATTTCCTATAGACATATTCCAGTAATGTCATTTAGAAGATCCCAAAGATAAGGTAAGCTGTACAGTGTGATCAGAATATATGAATGTCATATAATCTTAAAGACAGTGCTGAGTTTCTAACCTGTTAATAACTTGTCCATTCACTAACAATTACTGTTCAAATACAGCCTATCTCAGTGTGAAATTTTTTTCCTGGAGTAAAACAAGCTGTCCTCAGGAGCAAAATGAAAACAGGACACCAGCTCAAACTGGGATTCTCACCAGGAAGAGACTTCCTGGGATGGCCTCTGCCAGGCAATGAAAAGAGCTGTTTTCATTTAAGTAAAGGCACTGGTCACCGTAAATAAAGATGTAATCATAGCACCTAGCATCTATTAGCCATCCAGTGTGTTCATTCTTTTCCTCTCCACTCCTTTCCCAACTACTGCACCACACACCACCACCTCAAGTACAGTATTGTCAAGATTTCTTCGTTCGCTTTAGCACCCTGAAGTGTTGATGCACTAATCATAAGTAAGGCTAGCTTGACAAGGTGGTATCAAGTTTTAATTGTTGGGAGCACTGTGCTGACAGCCTACTGCATTGGTGCTGATGGGACAGGGAGACTTAAGGGCTGGCCAAAGGGCATGACTCTCCACCCCAAGCTGTCACCCCCAATGCCAGACACAATGCCCAAAATTGTTAGAAATTCCTAAGGACCTATAATTTTATTCCCATCTTCAGGACACCCATTTCAAAATAGTACTGATTTTTATCCACTCCAGAGTATATGTTGAAATGTCAACCTCTTTCCATTTCCACTTTTATCATCACCCTAATCCAAGCACCACTACCGGGCTCCTGTCTCAGGTATAGAAATAGCCTCCTAATTTGTAATTTTCCTCTCTTTTCCACAAACCACTCACCACATAGGAGTCAAGGCATGACTCAAACTAAGTCCCCTGTTTAAGTAAGTCCCCTGTTTAAGTACTTTTCCATGGACTAAAAAGTCCCTTAGAAGATCCAGCACCGACTCTCCCTCTAATTTCCTCTCTAACCACCTTCTCTGCTCCAGTTACTCTGCCCTTCTTACTGCTCAAATGTGATGGCAAGCTTCGCTTTCTCTTCGATATCAGACCTTCTCTACCTAATGTTTCTGTCCCCTCATGCTCATTCCTAATCACCCTCCTCTTGTAATATCCTATTTCATTTCCCTTATAATACTTACCTCCATTTAAAATTGTCGTATTTGCTTGCTTACATTCAGTCCCTTGGACACGTACACACATGCATGCGCACATGCACAGTGAACCATATGAGAGTAGGAATTGTGCATCTCTTGTTCACCTTATGAAACCTGCAGGGTACAGAACGGTGCCTGGCAGATAGCAGGAGCTCAGGAAGTAATCATTGAATGAGTAATAACATCACCCTGTTTGGTGGCCCCTTCTTGGTCTTCAGGTTGACTTTTATGACCCACTTGGCATTTCTCCTTAAATAGCTCCTCTCCTTTGGCCTTTGTTACACCATGTTATACAGTTCTAGCATTATCTGTGTTACTTCTAGTATGCTGAGAAAGTAGTTCTGTGTGCACAGAAAACTAGATGTTACTGTTGCTTAATTCTCAAACCTTAATGTTCAAATTGTAAGTGAATAAAGATGCTTTCTGAATTGTTTAGAACTTCATAGAAAAGACATAGATTTTATGCAAATTTATTGTGAGAATCTTTGTTTGTTATCTCAATTGAGATACAATACCCAGGAAACCAAGGTCCTAAACTTACATATCAATGTGTAGTCCTGCCGGCCCCCCCCCCCCCCCCCCCCCGCCAGGGACTAAATCCACTGGGATTCTCTTAACATTCTTACCCCATATAATCAAGACTAAAAGGAGCATCAAGGAGAACTTGAAATAGCACACAATTTTTTTTAATGGGAAAATTACCTTCCAAGAAAGATGGAAGTAGTTGAAGTGTGGTTCAAGGTGAGGAATTAGGGCCATAGAAGAACAGTCTCATCCCCTCTATCTTGGTGATCACAGCAGCTTAAGAGCTCCCAGTTTATCAATGATACACTAAGCTGAAAACTGCCTCCTTTAGTTATTTACCAATTTTTGCTTCAAAAGAGATGTGTCTGGTTTACCGGACACAAATGTCGGTTAAGACCATGGTTAGGTCTTAACAGCCACAGGTGGTACCAGAAACAGCACAAGAGTCCCAGTCTCATTAACACAGCGCACTTAGAGTTCCTGCTTGCCATCTTTCTTCCAGGCAGGTAGCAGAGGCAGGTTCACTGAGGCAGCCAACACATACTGCCAGTTACCCCCAGAGCCTCTCAGAAGTCAAAAGACTTTGAGATACTCAGTGTATGTAGAAATGAAGAACTGCCTAAACAGTTGCAAAACTTTGGGTACATTTTTAATATTTACATTTAATATATTGCTGCTTTTTTGTATATTTTTTTTATTTTTTTAATATTTTATTTTATATAATTCTTACATCATTTTTCATCTTTGCACAATGTATGCATTTTCATTTTGGTTATATTCCCCATGCAGTTGCACCCCCCCTTATTTTGACTCTAGTTCTTCCTTTCCCTGCCCCTCCCTCCGCACCCTCCCCCCCAGTGTGTCTCTGGTTTATAGTTGCTTGTTGATTTTGATTTATTACTTTGTATCGATTAGTCTTTTTCCTGGTCTCTTATTTAGGTTTTCTAAATTCCTGCTATGAGTGAGACCATACGGTATTTTCCTTTTTCTTTCTGACTTATTTCGCTGAGCATGATCCTTTAAAAAAAGGAGAATTACAGGATTTATGAGACTATTAAATCATAGTGCACTATGAATGATGTGGTCCAGATAATTGGACACAAGTTTAAAGTGGGCTGTTCTTGGGACAGTAGGAAAGTTTGCAGGCGAGGCCTTTCATGACTGGGAAGGCCATGTAACTCACAAACCCCACCTTGGTCCCCCTGTGAAGTGTACTGCTTACATCTCCCAAATATTCCTAATTGGAAATCTTTCCTTAACCATAAGTCTATCACACCACCTGCTCCAACTTACCGTGATGTTATAAAGGAAGCAAAAAGACAATTTGCAAAGAACCGAAAGGATTTTCGAATGTAAGTTGATATAATACTATTCTTAAATATAGAGTTATATAGACTCTTTTAGAGCTGGAATTGATTATAAGAATCATCTACACCAAGCTTATTTTAATGAGGACAGTCACTTCTGAGCAGCTTATACACACAGAGATTCTTATCAGGTGAGTGTCAAAGCTGTATATTGTAATCTGGAGCCACAACAAGGGTCAGGGATTGAAAGAAGGAAGGAAACTTTGCTATGGTATGGTTGGGAGGAGCAGCACACATGGAGAGGACATCAGGGAAGAGATTAGAGTATGATCCATTTTCAAAAATGAATCCTGAAAGAACAGAAACATTGTCTGCAGTAGAGTTCCCTGGAGGTGGGGGACATGTGCACACACACACAGCCGTGCTCAATGGCAAGAATGTGAAAACGGGTGTACACCTTGTAAGAGGGTACCTATGGAAGCAGCAAGCTGGGGTCCAGGCCATACTCAGGTGTCGTGGGTAATGACTTTGGTATGTGTACATGATTGGGACCGGGCTGAGGGGTTCCTCGCATCAAGAAATGCACAAGGAGGGAATGCTGATGAACTGGCTTGTAAAGGACTTTTACCAACATGTCATAGAAAGTAAGCATATTGTTGATTTATTCGTTTCCAAATAGAAATGCCTGCTTCATTTGAAAATTTAACGCCAAGCTTTTATTTTATAGGGAAAAACACAGGATTAATGAAGAAATAAGATACCTGAAGCTACGGCAGGAAGGAATTGACAAAGAACTTTATAGGTTTGTTCTTATTCAACTTTGTGATGCTTTAAAACATTTTAACTGAACAAATGTGTTACATAAAACCACAGTTGGTTTATTACATAAAAATACATCAATTCAAATAGCCTTCATAAATATAGTACTCAACATTTCACCTGGAATAACATTATAGCTTTCCTCATCCACATTACCCACTCCGTTAATTAATTGCTAAAAGTTATCATCACTTTCTTTTACTCCACCAGCCCTAGGACTTAAGTTCAAGGTTTTTTGAAAAATAAGCCCATAGGGGCCTCCCTGGTGGCGTAAGGGGTTAAAGCACAGCACTATCAAGCTATCTGCAGCCACTGCAGCACAAGTTTGATCTATGGCCAGGGAGCTATCTACATGGCACAGCAGACCTCTCCTGTCTCGCCTGCTGCTCCCGTCAGCAGTGTATTTCAGAAAATCTGCTTGTTCTGCTCCCCATTCTGTCTTTGGTGATTCCTCTCACCACCCCCCAACCCTGGCCTGTATCCCAGTTCTTGTATGCATAAATAAATCTTAAAAAAAAAAATAAGCCCATAACCATCTCCCGCCCTAGGGAAAATGTAAACTAAAAAAACAACCTATTTAACTGGTCTCTCTTGGGCTGGTTCTTTGTTCCCCTTCTGCCCCTGCTCTTCTCCTATATATCCAAACATTGTCCCTCACTGAAGCAAGGGAAATTAAGCTTATTTAATTGTTTATTTTGTAAATTAGAGTATAAAAAGGAAAACTATAAAGCATTGAGACTAACCCACTTTTTCCAACACACCCACACGCACAAGAATAAGTACAGCCCTTTAAACCAGCCTGGTGGAGACCACAACTTTGTGCCTGCCATACTTCTAATCACTGTTTGCAACTTATAATGCTAGTTCCTAGTCACATAAGAAAAATCTAGCCCATTACTTCAGAATCTTATCTCACTTCTCACCAAAGTTCTTATGACCCAGCTTTCCCCTTCACAATAACTAAATTATAAAATCCAATTCCAGGTGACTGCTACAAATTTCTCAAAATCAAATCTGTGTAAAACAGAATTTCTCACCACTGAAAATGTGTAGAACGGTTTTTCCGAGCAACTCTCAGGAAGCACTCAGTATGTTTTATACTACACACTGTTGGAGGAAGTGAACGGGAAAGCTTCATTTAGTGATAGATAAATCCCACATGCTTGTTCAATTTATAGGCACAACACACAGTTTCTATCTTCAAAACATCTGTAATCTTCAAATCTTCCTCTTGGAGAAGAAGAGCATTGAGAAAGTTAGAGAATTAAATAATGCTACTGACTGCAAAACTTTAAAAAGCTTTTTAGTTTACAATACTAAAATTGGACACTTTTTAACGGTGAAGGTTATAGTATGTGACATATCACAAAATTATTATTTGAAAAAAAAGAACTGTAATTTTAAAAAGTGAGCTCAGGGCCTCCCTGGTGATGCAAGGGATTAAGCACCTCACTATGAAGCAATCCGCAGCCTCTGCAGCACGAGTTCCATCCCCCGCTAGCCAGGGAGCAACCCACATGGTGCAGGAGACCTCTCCTGTCTCGCCTGCTGCTCCCCTCAGCAGTGTATTTCAGTCAGTCTGCCTGTTCTGGTCCCCGCTCTATCTCTGGTGAATCCTCTCACCCCCCACATCTCTGGCCTGTACCCCAGCTCTTGTATGCATAAATAAATAAATATTTTTAAAAAATAAGAGTGAGCTCAAAGATGAGCTGATTTTAACAACGTAAAATGAACCAGTCTAAGGGCAACTTGCAACTCAAGGAGGTTCTAAGAGGGTGTTGCTGAGAAAAGGTACCACGGGTGATTTGTAGGGTGTTCCTTAAGTGTCTTAACTCATATAAGGAACTGTAAGGAATGTTCCTTAAGCAGCTTAACAGTTTCTCCAAGTGTAAGAGCTAGCTTTAAAAAGAGGACAGACCTGAAGAGTTGTAAGAAAAGAGGAGAAAATCCAGGTTGAAAAGCTAAATCAGTAGAGATGAAGTAGAGAATGGGTGTGAGGACATTTGCCAGTTACAGAGCACCCTAAAAGATAGCCCTGCTCTGCCCTCAGGGGTACCCTAGACTAAATGTAAAGAAATCTAGTATAGGCCTTACTAGGAGTTCATGAATCTACACTTAATGCTTCAGCAAAGTTTATTTGGAAATTTCAAAAACTTCCTTCCTACACATTTCATGGAAAAAAAAACAAAAAACTAAAAATGTTAAACTCAAAAATTGCCAGTAAAATTAATAGCCCTTTTACCCTTTTCATTTTTTTTTTTTTCTCATTTGTGTTTCTCTAGCTAATGTTTCTCCCTTGCCCCAAATTCCTACTCTTCCTTGCCTAGTCTACCTCTGCCTCTCCCTTTATCACAGATTCCTGAATTCGGCTAGTCAACTTCATAAATACTCTTTGAATGAGTGCACAGTAACAGAAACCAAAATAGATTCCTGGATACCTGCCCCCAATGAACTCATGGTCTAGCATCCTGATCCTTCAGCCTTTTACATCCCTCTCTTACTCCCCCAAATCTTTCCCCTGCTAGTCTGTTCTTTTGTCCCCACTGTTACTCTTTAAGGTCTGTGCTGCTGTGTAGAATCAGTTAAGGGAATATTATGTGAATCATTTCACTAAAAATGTTGCTTTGCTGCTAGGTGGAACTGAGGGCTGCCTGCGTTCAAACCCTCTATTACTTGCTAGCTGTGTGACTGTGGGCAGGTTACTTAACCTATCTGAGCCCGTTTCCTCTTTTATAATGTAGGATTATAGTGTACCTATTGTAAGTTTGTTGGAAAGTAATTGAATTAATATATGTCAAGTGTTGGCAAATATCCATCGTACTAAATGCTGTGTTTGGCTCTTAGTGTCAGTATAAAAAGGTTTGGTTCCTTGTTTTCTTTATTCCATGAACAGACTCCAAGCAAAGGCTACCAAGAAACCCTATGAAGCTAAGCTTGACTTTGACAAGTTTCTATATAAACTGGTATGTTTCCTGTTTTTTAAAAATAACTGAGAGTTTTCTGTTAAGCTACAGTGGCAGAAAGAATACATTCTTGTATTTAATCACCCACAAAGATTTAGAATAATCTGTTTTACATACTGTGACAGCCTCTTCTTGCTTACTCATTTATCCCATCAATTGTCTCTGAGCAATTTTTAATAGCTGAAAATCTCCAAATACAGTCAGAATTATAAACTGATAGAAATGGATTTTAAGTCATTTTAATTTCTTTTTTAAATATTTTTCTATTAAAAAGTCAATAAAATATTGGATTCTAATAACCATGTTAGATGAATGGTCCCTGCCCTCAATTAAGAGAAACACAAGACACAAATGACAAGGTTCCAATAGGACTCAATGTGAGAAATTAAAGGAAGGCGATTACTCCATCTCTCCAATTTTCATTGTCCTCTTCTCTCTTATTCTCCTTAACTTATGGGAAATTCTATTAAACCTGAAGGGGCTTATTCCCTGCCAACAGGTAAGAACATGAAGAGAATCGTATTAAATAAATCTGAAGATTAGACATACTGAAGGGAGGAATAAAGAGCTTTTTATTTTCAGTATGCCAGGGTTCCTCTAAAAAATGTAAAGCAACTCCCATTGGCTACTGGTGTAACATCAGATTTCTATGAGCCAGAAAGGAGTAAAAAGCATGTTTAATATTAAACAAATAGGTATATGCCTCCAAAAAAAAAAATTATTTCTCCCATTTTCCTTGGTCTTTCTTTCCTGCTATTGATAGAGACATGGGCACAAAGAAGTGCTGATTTAGTGTAAGAAAACGACTATGCTAGTGTGCCAGTCAAGGGCAAGTGACTTCAGTTGGTAAATGGTAAGTGGCCTGTGTATCAGGGAAACTAGCACACCAGAGAGTCCCTGCCTTATTTAAACCACACGCAGCCATTACTCAGCTCCAGTTCATTTTTGCCCTGCAGGAATGGAGGCCGAAATATTATCAGATCTTCCACTGTCGGTAATCCAGATTCTTCTGTAAAATCTTTTGATTTGGACCCCAAGTTTTAAAATACTCTGGGGGCTAACCTAAATATATCTGCAGACCAGATGTGGCCTCTGGACAACGTCTTTGCAGCCCAGGGTCTAACTGCTGCCTGGATTTGGAGCACTTCAAAACCAGGCCCCAAATGGTATGACCAATCGTATTCACAACTATATGTCAAGGCAAACTCTTCACTGTCACTGAGCCTTCTGAACATACCACATTTACTCATGCTCATATACTTTGTTCATCTGCAATCTTACTCCCCAGCTCTCAAAACCTACTCATTCTTCAGTGCCCTGCTCAAATTCTATCCTTCGAATGAGGCTTTTTCTCCTGGCTGTAGCTTTATCCTCTACAGACAAGTTTGATATCTCTCATAATTTCTATACTAGCATTTGGTGGTGGTTTAATTGAAGAATAGTTATTTTCTTCAAGCCACACATAAAGATAAATATTACCTGGCTTAAGACAATCAAGTCCTCCAAAGCAGAGTACATTCTGGAAATTTTTACTGACCTATTCAAAGAAGAAATCTTATGGTGAAAAAAAATGTAAATGGAAAGCAATGGCAAGTGCGTTTCTTTTAACAATGTGCCGGGTACCTTTAAAGAATTATATACTAACCACGAACCTTTTGTAAAAAATGATAAGATATTAAAAAAAAAACAAAAGATTATCATTGTAAAACAATTCAGATTTTGGTTTATTGGGTTTTAAAAAAACTCAAAATTCCTTCCAAAAAATTGAGTTAAGCTTTCCAAAATGTTTATCTTTGGATAATGAAAAAGTACCAGAAGTTTCTTCTGGATGCGAACAAATACTTAAAGTGTCTTTCACCAAAATTTCTCTCTATCAAGTAATAGAGAAAGCTCAGGACCAAAAGAATAAAAAGTGATTGTTTATGTGATACCAAATGTAAAAAAAAAAAAATTAGCATAGGGTTTTCTTCCTAAATCCATCTTTTGTCAAAAAATAATTTAAGTGTGGGCCTCCCGGGTGGCGCAGCGGGTTGAGCGCAGCACTGTGAAGCTGTCCGCAGCCTCTGCAGGACCGGTTCGATTCCTGGCCGGCTATGTTGATTCCCACATGGTGCAGCAGACCTCTCCTGTCTCGCACGCTACTCCCCTCAGCAGTGTATTTCAGTCAGTCTGCCTGTTTTGTTCCCCGCTCTGTCTCTGGTGAATCCTCTCGCCCTCCCATGCCTCTGGCCAGTATCCCAGCTATTGTATAAATTAAAAATAATAATAATAATTAAGTGATCCATCTCATCAGATAATTGGGGTAATCTCGTAGTCAAATACCTGATATTGAAGAAATCTGTGGATCTTTAATTTTTTCAATAGCGATGTAAAGATCGAATTGAGCAAGATTTTCTGACTCCACTGTCATCATCATCATCATCAGAATCATCATCATCAATAGAAGACTACAAGTTGGAGGAAGATGAATGCCAAGAAAAAGCAGAAATGAACCGTATTTAAGACTATTGCATACAATTTAATTGTAACAGTATGTTTAATTCAAGTTCAGTCCATGAGGTCAGTATTGAGTGTCTTTTACCATTCATCTTTTAAAAGTCTTAAAATTAAAAAACTCTTAAAAATCAGTAAATCTTAGTAAATCATCCTTAAGAGATCTGTCCAAGCATAATCTTGGCTCATATTGATAGAAAACATATTTTAAGATGGAAAAATAATCATTATGAAGCATAGAGTGCTTTCAACCATTTCTTTGGAAATACATCTTGATAATAGCAACCATTCATCATAATACAAAACAGAAAGAGGATTAATTTACTGTGGCATACGAAGTCCTGCCAGTTTCTGAATGCCCTGAATAGTTTCTCTGAGATTTTTTACATTGTTTAGGCCTCAAGGAAAACCAAAGCTCCACCTCCAGGTTTGGTAGCAAACAAACTCTGCTTCTCAGGGGCTAAACTTCCATCGCTCCTCTGGTAATAAGCTTCATGCACGTTTGCTAGGAAGTTGGGCAGCTTGTCGGCAGGTACGATTGATACTGTGCAGCCTCCCCATCCGGCTCCAGTAAGTCGTGACCCTTGGGCCCCAAACTTCCTAAAACAACGAAGAAAAAGAAAATCAGAACCTGTAAATGAAAATGGTAGCTATTTACCTGATGCTTATAGAACAAGTGCTAGGAAGAAAATATGTGTTTGTGTTTTGTTTGTTTTTTTTTTTTTTTTGGAGGGGGGTGTTGTCAAACATGTTAGGACATTAAGAAATTATTCTGTTTCAGAAGGTGATCTGAAATTTAATTGTATCTGAAATTAGTCCCTTGTTTTGACTCTAAGTAGTAAAAGATAGCAATACTTTTGTTTCATGAGGTCTAGCTATCATCTCAGCTGCAAACTTTCTCTGATACTGGGATTCTAGGATCATTCTGGGGATTAAAAAAAAAGTTATCCTATATAGTCATCAAAATAACCCACTGTTGTCTTGATTCCATGAAGTCACCACTTAAAAGAGTTGTTCGGCAAACCTATAGGTGATAGGAGGAGAGATAAAAAGAAAACAGACCATCGGCATGATCAACAATATGAATTTTGCCCAAATCAATATTTAAAGTGTACGGTCTTTGATAAGTGAGGGCTTCCTCCAATGGCTACTTAAGCCTCATTCTTAAGGAATGGTTATTTCACATAAATATCAGTTCCCGAGGGCATTCCTGGTGGCACAGGGGTTAAGACACAACCTATGAAGCTGTCCGCAGCCACTGCAGCACGAGTTTGATCCCCAGCCAGGGTGCTACCCACATGGCGCAGCAGACTCTCCTGTCTCACCCGCTGCTCCCTTCAGCAGTGTATTTCAGTCAATCTGCCTGTTCTGTACCCGACTCTGTCTCGGTGAATCCTCTCACCCCACACACTTCTGGCCTGTACCTTAGTTCTTGTGTGCATAAATAAATAAATCTTTAAAAAAAAAAAAAGATCAGTTCCCTAGAATAGACAGACTAGACTCGTGCTGAATAAATTTGTCAACAAAGAGCACATTATTAAGCTCTAGGTCAATTTGTCTGTCTAATATCTAATGGGAAATTATGCAGACCATCCCACAAAGGGGATGGTGGCCTTTGCAGGTTCATACCCATCCTCCCTTTGCCTTGGGAGTGCCTCTGACAACTGGACTCAGAATTTACCATCAGATGAAATGTGTGAATAAGATGGAAACCACTATATAAACCACCACACAGCAAGAGGTAATTTTAACTACAATCAACCAGGCACAGTTTCAAACCTAACATTTGTACCAAAGTAAAAGGCCCTACACAAAGTACAAGGATCGCTCATCTTTAAAAGAGCAATTTATTCTGACAAAAAAAACTAACATGTACTTCCAGTCCTTCCTAATAAAATTTACTCCAAATTTATAGCAGATTAAAAACTACATAATTAATTTAGCACAATTTTGCCCCTTTTTCCCATCTAAATGAGCTACTTTGCTTCCTGGAAAATATCAATAGAATATTACCCCTTCTCTAGGACATCAAAACTATTGCACAACAGTAATTTATTTTCCCCTCCATAATTTTGTCAATTGATTTCTTTTCATCATATGTTTTATTCATTAAAATATGCTTTTCAAATGAAAATAGATGTTTAAAGAAATAAACAAAAATGCCGGCAAATAAAGATTACTCCTCTCCTCCTGTCCCTCAGACATCTGTTTACAGCCCAGTAGTTGAACTGAGCCCAGACTATCATCTCAGCTGAAAACCTTCTCTAATACTGGGATTCTAGGATCATTCTGAGTTACTATACTAGGCTGGCAAAGTGGCAGATTGCACTTTGGTGATTAGAAAAAGAAGTTATTATATATAGTCATATCTGACTGTCCTGCCTTGTAACAGATGCTGAGAAAAATTGATGTATCACTGAAGTATCTCTGAAAGACCCTAAAATCTGGCATCCACGCCAACCTTGGCATGGTCTAGGGAAGAACAATGTACCTTCTTACTTGATTTTCTAAGACCCAAACTCTGCCATTTTGCTAAATCCAAGTCAACCAATTCTTTTATGGTCTTCAATGGATTTCTAGGCATATTTTCTTACACTTTCTCATTTGAACAGTTTTTGAAAGCTGTGGTTTCAAAATTGAACCTAAAGCAAACTGAGAATGTTATTACTAACTGGCTGCAAAACCCATAGGAATTGTGCCAGAGGGTCTATTTTCCTGAGTATCCTGCCAGTTTCCAGAGAGCGGAAGCCAGAAATCTTTCTAGGTAAATACATTCACTTCTGAGTCTCCAGAGCTGCTCTGTCACCACCCTGCCTGCTACAGATGAGCATGAACTGGATTGCATCAACCACATGGCCTGAAATCATGAGGACTCAGATTTCCCAAATAGAGAATATAATAACCTTCCCAAAGGTTATTATAAATAACCTTCTGCTCCTGAGTCCATAACACTTGTGATCACAAATTAGGAGGCTGCCCTAGCAAATGGTCAGCGGCCTGCTTAGCTGTCCACATTCAGAAAGGGAGAAAGGACCTATCCGCAGTGGTCCCCACTAGAGCTTAGCATGCTCTTTGGCATATGCATTAGAAATTCTGAGAGAGAGGGCCTCCCCGGTGGCGCAGCGGTTGGGCACTGGGTTGCGAAGCTGCCCGCAGCCTCTGCACACCAGTTCGATCCCCGGCTGCTCCCCAGCCACCGGAGGAGGGTCCCACATGGCGCGCAGACCTCTCCTGCCGCCCGCTGCTCCCCTCAGCAGTGTACTTCGGTTCTTCTGCCTGCTCTGCTCCCCACTCTGGCTCTAGTGAATTCTCTCACCCTCCCGGGCTTCTGACTGTACCCAGTGCTTGTATAAATAAATAAATAAATCTTAAAAAAAAAATAAAAGAATTCACTAGTGAAGCCATCTGGTCCAGGACTTTAAAAAAAAAGAAAGAAAGAAATTCCAAGAGAGAATATAGCCTGCCTAGAATGTCATAAAATACTTGCTTAAGGTAGAGGGCACAGGTAAATGGGGAGAAGTTAGGGTTAAAGGGGAGCTCCAGTAATTCCCAACTTTGCTACAAAGAGGGAAAGAAAGGAATTTTGACTTGTATTTCAATTCAATTTTATTTCAAAATAAGTAAATTTTATATTTTATACAAATGGATAGTAATTAAATTATTTCAGGAACTCTTCAGTCAGGGGCAGGTTATAGCTATCTCACTAATCCCAGACCAGCACAATTTCAGCTATTTGGTAGACTTTAATAAATGGTTGCTGGATAGCATATTTGTTTTAAGATCAAAATATGTGCTCAGGCTGTTTGTTTTTTATTGATATAAGAAAAACATTAAAGTTAGAACACTTTGATCAAATAAAACATTTTTTTAACAATGAAGAGAAAAGATAATGCCTTCCAGGTTATAAAATATCTCTTTAAAATAAAATGTAAATTTTAAGAAATTGTTAAATTTTAGAGTTAGAAACAGTATACAGTGTTTATAAATATAAGCAGTTAGTAGTATAACTTCTAACTTCTGAAATCTAGAATCTTCTGACTAGAATCTGAGGAAAATAAATTCCAGAACAATTTCTATGATTTTTACAGCCCGTTTAGAATCACTTTCATATTGCTTCAGATGCAGGAAACCACAGACTACAAATGCTATTCAAATGAGAAAGTATAAGATGACTAGAAGTGTGTTTTCGAAATGTAAGACAATAAAGGCCATTGAAGACCAGTTGGTTTGGTTCCAGCAAACAGGTAGATTAGGGGATGGATGAATGGATAGACAGATAGATAGATAGAGAGAGAGAGAGAGAGAGAGAGAGAGAGAGAGAGAGAGAGACAGATACAGGTGGAGACTGAGGAGGATAATAAGTAGAAGACATAGCCCAAAGAGAAGTGAGTTCCTGAAGGCAGTTGAAATAGCTCTCTTTTCTGTCAGGATGTACAGATTAGCACTTAAGATCATGGAGGGTAAGCCACAGAAACATGGATCTGTATTTCATTCTTCCCAATCTTGATATGGTCAAGAGAACGGGTATGAGACACTGAGCAGCATGGCCACTGAACGAAGCTATGGAAAGATTTCTGAGGAAGACAGCAAATTAACTTTTGTAACCTTTGTTGAGCTATTAAGTTTTGTCATCTTAATAGCTTTGGCAATAAATCCTGTCAGGCTAAGCCAAAACTCAGTTTTTCTAACTTTTGGTCCGGTTTTCCTCTCTTTCACCCACACAGCAGGGAATCCTTCCTAATTTCAACAAGTGTCAAAATGGAAATAAAAGGCGTGAGCTATTTTATTCTCAACTACAACCAGGGAAATTGATAGCAAATGAGCAGTCTCACATGTGATTGATTTGATTTCAAAATTATTGTGTTTTCATCAGTAAATTCCACTTTATATTTTAGTCATTTCTTAAAATTTACATTTTGTTCATCTGAAAGAGTTAGTTATAATTGGGCAAACTTCCTCTTTCCCTTTCATCATTATACTTTGTTTCACATGGTTGAAGCTTTCTAAAATTAATTTTAAAAAGAAAGTAAACAATCTAACTGCATAAGGGTAGTTTCTTTCTCCCTCCCTGGCCTTTTCTTTGGATTCTAAGTTGATTTTCTCTTGAAAGACAGTAAAAGGCTCAATTGAAAAATCAGCAAGCATTGGTTTTCTACTCTCTTCCGCCTAACCCTTTATGACCCACTTGGGTCACAAAGTTGTTTCTTGTAAGTTGTCCTGCGGGCAAGCGACCTCGTGAAGCCTTGTGACTATAGTCCACCTCAATCACACCTAAGATTTTAGCTTCTTGATTCCTGAGTATTCTAGGCATCATAATCCTTTTTCACTCACTCAAATCAGTTGTCTTTTCATGCAAATAGTTTGCAAGCAGTCCATGAGGAAAATTCAAGGAATTTTAAAGTGCCACAACTGGACCAGCGAGAGTAATCTGAAGTTTGTCTTTACAATGTAAGTTCTTGAAACCATTTCAGTTTTCTTCCTATATCTTCTTTTCTCCCTAAGGCAACGGACCTTCTCAGGCTGCCGGAGCTTAGTCATGAGCTTAGTCATAGCTCCCCCACTAACATTTTTAAAGGGAAGTGTGGAGGTGGTTGTGATTCTTATAGAAAATAATACCCTACCGAAATTTGAGTTTATGATACCCACGGTCCATACTGGGCCTTGCCAGGGCCCTTCCCAGCACATTAAACACTTCTGCCAAGCCCATCGAGG